CTACTCCTACTACTACTACTCCTCCTCCTCCTCCTCCTCCTCCTCCTCATCCTCCTCCTCCTGTTGTCCTGCTTGCAGACTCCTGCACTAGAAGAGGAGGGGAAAAGGCTTCCCAAATGAGGAGAGCCAGTCCTATCGAGCGTTGTCCACCCTTGACCCATCCAGCCCCCGAGGCAGAAAGCTCCTTGTGTAATACATTACCGTCTCAGATACAACAGATTCAGATACAACTGTTTTGCTCTTAACCCCGTCTTTTTGCCGTAATTGATTTATCGTCTAGCGCTGCCAAGGCCGTGCGATTGAAGCCGTTGACATTTCCTTAGTCCAGTGTTGTAAGGGTCTGTCAAAATCTGTACTGTATTGCAGACGAGATGTATTGTTTCGTGCCCTTTTTCAGTAGGAACTTCCGCTTCAGTATATATTCACTGTATCTATTCGGGGAGATAGGATCGTTCTTTGGATCTGTTGCGAAACTTTTTAGATCTAATACGTTGGATTTTGTTACCTTGTATGCACGGCCTTTACTGCATTCAGGAACTGGGTGTCCTCTTCAACTTTTCAGGCTTGCGAAAGGTTAATTAGTTTTCTGCGGTGGGGGTTTCGATTTGCTGCGTTGACACTGGCCATACCAACGGGAAAGATGTTGAATTAAGGATTGATCCATGGGCGCTTTGGGGGTGCTGCGGGACTCCGTGCGGGCCGAGATTCATCTCTGGTGCCTTTGCCGTGTAAGCCGGAAATAAGCCAATGAATGGATTAATTGCGAGTTCGTGTCCGATTTGCAGAGAGCAATATCTTCCCCCCTCCCCCTCAAACCAAAATATGTCTGTCATTCTTTCATTCCAAATGTTGATGACGTCAAACCCATGAAACCATTTCTCGGACATTGTTGTTCTGTGTTGTCTTCCGGAATCATGTATCATTGTTCACGAAATGGATGTCCATTATAAATAAAACAAGTAGAAAAGAAAGGGCAACAGAAAAGGAAAAGAAAGTATGAATATCGAAAAAGAAAAATCCCATAGACTAAAAGAGAAATGCAATCGAACACTGACGAGAGCCATGGGTATGCCCTGTATCATTTCTGTATTTTGTTTCTTAAGTTTTTTTGTTTCTTTTTGAAAAATAGAAGACTTGTCCTGATTTTTAATAGATAGTTATTGGTTCTGTACGTTACTTTCGTGAAATAAACACACCCTTCAAAAGGTTATACTTCTAGTACTCATGGGCCTCCAAATTCAGGACAAGGTTCAAACTGAATGGGAACTGGATGGCTCTGATCCTTTTTCCGATTCTTCTCTCGTTTCTCGATCTCTCCTAATCTTCCCCCCCCTTGAACCTTCCATCAACAAGACAAGCGGACGAGGAAGAAACAGCGCTGTGTGAGAAGAGAGAGAGAGAGAGAGAGAGAGAGAGGGAGAGAGGGAGAGAGAGAGAGAGAGGAGAGGGGGGTGAGAGAAGAAGAGAGAGACAGACACAGACAGAGAGAGACAGAGAGAGACAGAGAGTGCGCCATAAAGTAGAGGAAAACGACCCCCTCCTCACCCTGTCCATACTCTCCTCATCCAACTCTACAAAGGTCACAATCTATTCACGCGGACGACAGAAAAAAAGAATAAAAGGAGTAGGGAAAAAAGCAAACCCTCCGCACTTGCGTTTCTAGTTATCACAGCCAGTCCTAGGTCAACTGTGGTTAATTAATTAACCTTTTCGTGACCCCAGCCACCCACACACTCACACACAGAGAATGTCCTAGAAGGACAGCAATATCATTCTTTTAGTTTTCTTTGAATTTAAAAAGACGCAGAGAATGGTAGTCTGTTTCTTACCGCTTCTCATCTTTTTTGTTTTGGAGAGAGCGAGAGAGAGAGAGG